TACACACTGGACCTTTTTAAAAGGATGCATGAATTCTTGGGGGGAGGATTTAGCTGATGCAGAAGAAAAAGTGTCAGTTGGGCATGTGCTCTTCTTCTCAGGCCTCACTGTGTTTGTTTGAATCCACAGCTTAAATCTTTTGGTGCAAAACTAAAAGAGAGAAACAACTTGTTCAGAAAGATGAGCAAAGTTCAGTCACATGAAATGAAGGAGGTGTTGTACTCAAACCTTGTGCAGGCTAATCTGGTAAGAGCCTTCACACAGAAATACGCGATTACAACATTTGGGATCTTCTGAGAGTATTAAAGGTCATTGACATTTTTCATCTCTTCAGGAGGAGCAACAGAGGTTGAGAGGAACGATTGAGGAAGCAGACGAGATGATAAAAAGTTTGGACGATTGTATTGGTGAATTAGAAACAGGTAGATATATATAGATACATAGATGTCCAGTTTACATTGTCACCTTCTCTGTATGAATGGACTAATGAGTCAGATACAAGGAACCCGACTATAACACAATCTGTTTTTTCTTCCTTTAGAACTGGCTGCAGTTGAAGAAAAAGGCTTTGAAAACACACCCAGTCTGAAATCGCGTCAGGAAGGTAACTTATAATACCACTTCATTATTTTAGTTATTTATTTTGATGTAATTGATTTGAATAAGTTATTGAATATTTAATTTATTTATTTGTATGTATTCTACAGAAATGCAGAAAGTCACTGAGGCTTTGGCGGATAATGACCGGTGAGTTGAGAATATTATTGGATTGGATTAGATTGGATTGTCTTTATTTGGTTTGCAGTAGTCAACACAACCAAGTGCAACCAAAAATAACCAATACACAACCATTAAAAAAACATAAATACATTTCATAAACATACAGTAGATGTCGTCATAATAAGTTGCAATAAGCTATAAAAGTACTAATGTCATACATTAATGTATAAGAACATTTGTTTTTCATGTTATGATTTAAATATAGAATGATTCCTTTTTGTTTCTTATTCTTTTCTTTGTTCCTGCCGCAGACAAATAACCGAACTGGAGATGCAGAAGAAGCAGAATTCAAATAAACTCAACAGACTCAAAGCTGAGACGAGGAACCTTGAGAGCCACATCACCGCACTGCAAATGTCAGTTTCTGGTTTTAATTGGTTTTCAGATCTTTGCAGATGAGTGTTGCTTGCCAACATGAAGGACAGCATTTACAAAAAGCTGCTTATGCTGAACTTTGTCTACTTTCAATTTACTATTTTGGAAACTGTTCCTCTCCTCAACTGTCAGTAAATGAGGGCCATTAGCTTTTATAAAAAAAATAAAAAAAAAACAACAACAAATTTTTAAAAATATACAAAGATATTAAGCTATTATTATGTCTTTCCTCAGGGTCAATGAATGGAAGTTGGGAGAGAAGAGTGACAACTGCACGGCCTACACTTTTCTCCATGAGACCTTCCATCTACAGTTGGTGTTTGAAAAAAATGGTAAGATTGTTATTCTGTATGGTGGATAAGCATTCATATCGTTCTGTACTGTTGTATTCGTTAATTAAGATGTGTATCCACTTGTACAGGCTGAACATTTAAACCATGCTCCACTTTTAGCCACAGTAATGTCAGAACCAAAACAGTTGTTTACCAGCCAAACTATGCACAGAGTTGTTGTCTTTGTACTGGGCAGACATTGGGGGATTTGTGTTTTCAAGTTCCTTTAACAATGTTTTTTCAATGAATTTTTTTTTTTTTTTTTTGAAGGAAATGATGCTGGTAATCAGTCTGAGAGGAAAATATCACACATCACATTCAAACAACAATTTGATGGTAAGATAAAAACATAAAAAAAATGATGTCATGATTTTCTAAACAGAATCTGTGTTAAGCATAATCTATGGATTAACGTTGGTTCAAATCTTGACTCGTGTGTTTTTATCATCTGCTCACCTGTCTAACTAACCTCCATGTAAAATGAATATTACGTCAATATCTGGTAGTTTCTCAGTAGCTGTGAATTATTTATGATAATATACATTTAATGCGTTGGCATCTTGAGCAGAATGGACATTCTTGTTATTGGTAACTTGTAAAAAATAACTACTTTACATATATTTTTCTAACTAGATGAGAAGTCTCAGGGCCATGCGTGCCTTGTTCACAAACTGCTCTCTCAGTACATTGAGGGAGAAGCTGCCTGGGTGGAGAAGTATCCAACCAGCAGACATGTTCCAAAGGTAGGTGTGAATGGAGATTTGTTTTGTTGATCGATGGATTCAGCTGCATGTTGCACTCGTTTTTGGTCAGACTTGTTAAACTTAATCAGCTACACTGAAGCTTTCAACTGAGGTCTCCTTTTGTATGCAGCTGCTCCATGACGTGGGCCTGGTGGTGAGTCGCTGTCGTCTGCTAGGAGAGGAGCTGCGTCTGCTGAAAATGTGGGGGGGTCTAAGGCTCAACATTCTCAACATCAGCTGTGTGGACACTCAGTAAGAACTCTTCCTAACAAAAGATCTAGTTAAAGATTAGCTCATATATAATATTTAGCACAACATTTTTTTTGTATCATTAATTTTGTAGTTATTAATGATGAGGATTCAAAAAATGCAGGATTGACAGACAGATCTTGATTTAAAGCACCAAGACACAGTGTCACTGTTCCCCAAATATGCTTTCTTTCTTTCTCCAGAGTGCACATTGTCTTCAGCAGTCTTAAGAAATTTTCCAAGTTTGAGGTGATCTTCTCTGTCAGTGTGACCAACCACCTCTGTGTCCTTAAAGTGCAGAGCTTCAGAAACCTGATCGGAACCACAACGTAAGTTTGACTCATATATAAATGTAGGACTTTTTCAAATAAGTGAGGCAGTGCTTTCTTGGGTGTATGAAGAAAAACCTTAAAACAGTATTTGACATTTTCATGTATTTGCAGGATCCAACAGATTGAAGAGATTGTGGCATCGTTCAGCCCAGCCAAGAAACTCTTGACGAAGATTGTCAGAAAGATTCATGAAAATCTACTCTGTTGAGACCAGGAATTTTGATTCCAATCATTTGTAATGAAACTCTTTTGTACAATATAAATGTTGAAAATTGAAACAATTTAAAATCTATTGACTTTCAAAAAATGAATATAGTGTACAGGTTTCAGTCTGTTTTTTCTTCCGCAGTGCACATTAAGTGATGGTTTTTCATTATATCTTGTGTCCTCATAATGCAGCTGCATCTGTTGATATTTTGCATTTTGTTAGAAAAACTTTAGTGTCCCAACATAGTACATAGAAAGGGACGATGTAAACGTTCAAATTGCTCAAATACAGGAAATCAGAAAAGTTTCAACTTGTTGCAGTTTGTTCTTGACTAAGGACTAAGAAGTGGGATAGTTATGTCACAGCTACATAGCCAGTTTGAGGTTACTCAAGTCATTGTCAGTTGTCTTAGCTATACCAAAATTTGGTTTAATTTATATTTTGTCATGGATCATGTGATACATTTAAAATATTAGATCCAGTTGGTGTGGAGAGCAGACAGTCATTTCTGTGCTGTTTTCAGAGTCGCCTTCAGATAGGGTCACAAGGACTGACTTTACAGTACTTAAAAGGGGCCCTGATATATGTATATCAGATCCTGTGTTTGAGACAAGACTCAACAAAAGGTTGTATATCTGTCATATTTTGTTGCAGCTTTGTGCAGTACAGAACATATGTAAATATATTTCATTGTATTTTGTTCATAATGCTATTACCACAACTCCTCTGATCTTTTTTTAAATTTGAAAACAAGCTTTGTACTTTTGTCTTACTTTTTGTAAAATACATGTCCTGATCCTTGAAAAGATAAATGTACTCAAAGTTTTCCATTAAAAAGATGTTTACAATTCTTTTTTCTGTCATTGTTGTTAAATGTGCTTACTTTTCCAGGATGCATTGTTATCTATGATGATGATTAATGCACACATGAGGTATATATATATATATATATATACATACATATTATACTTTAAGCTTTAATAATATATAAATAATAACGATCAATTTGCAGAATGTGAAATGAAAATACAGATGTGGTGTTAGTGTTGACATCAGCTAAATAAATAAATCCCTCATTAGACTAATGCTAATGACTTTAAGACTGGTTTTAACTCCACTGACTCCATAGTCTTTTGCATGTGAATTAAATTTTACCTACTTGAAAGAAGAAATGACAAGGAAAAGTTGACACAGCTGAGATGTCAAACATCAACTTCTGTTCTGCTCTTATGACAATAACCAAGTATTGGATAGCCACTGCATTGTATCATTTAGATAGTGTCTGTTAATCACCCTAAATCATATTCCCAAAGATGGGAACAGGAACACTTTATGGCTACTGTTTGACTCGTGGTACTGCAACACAAACACAGACAGTTTGTGATTTATGTGTTTATGGAGTACAATTGGAGTCAAACCTGAAACAAGGGCTTTTGTTTTAAATCATTACCTGCTAATTCGACATCAAAATGCACTTTCTGTGTCAATTGCTGTTCCTGCTGTACCGTGGCTTTAGAGGGCGCTATAGGACTGTAAAAATATATGCAAATGTTTTGAATGAAACATATCTTTATGTTAAGTTCTAAACGCAGTGTAAAAGTAGATCTTGGCATAATTGTGTTTGGTTTGTGAGCTCTTAAAACAAGGCAATGGCTACCTTTTCCCCCTCGTCACAGTCTACAAACTCTAGAGACAGAAAATTAGTTGTGTGCAGTTGAACGGGTGTTTCCTGCTCTGATTGTGTCATTTGAACGATAATTTTAGAGCAGTATCCAATATTTTATTAGAAAAAAATAAACGAATGTAACGATTTTTTAAATCTAATTTGTTTGATTGTCTTGTGACCCCTCTGATTTATCTTGGGACCCTTTGTGGAATCACTAGATAATTATAAAGCAGGATATAGATTTTGAAGTGTTTGCAGTTCTGAGTAGTAAATAATCAGTGCTGCAACTGACTAATACTTTTGTGCAGTACAACATTTTCTAATAATCAGCATTGAAAGCCTTCATCCTACGTTCCACTAAAAACACAATTTTCCTCAGCTGCACCTCGGCATCAAACAAGAAAACTCATCTGCGCAGTTTGTTGAACCAAGATAAACCTCATATTAGTGTTTAACTGCAGATCTTGCTGCTGTTCAAAGCCAAACAGGCAAAACATGACTGACATGGACAGTGTCCAGAGGTCATTTGAAAGGTCAAACAGCCAGAGACAAGGCTCGGAGAGGGTGAGGGAGGGCAACGTCTGTCCACTCCTGAAGCCCCGACGTCAAAGGTCAAAGTGGACCCTCGAGTAAGCCATCAGGGGACACAAGTTCCTAACTCCCTCCCCCAGAAACAACGGCTGCTGTCAAACCCGATAGAGGACACACAGGGTGTTCAGGCAGGGGTTAAGTTTGACTGAAGCTGCATTTGGGCCTCCTGACCTCAGCCTGGAGGTCAACTCAATTTCATTTCAATCGATCCATTGAAGGATTTTTCATTATTCACACGTGACACTGAATCATTCATTAGATCATAATACAACAAATCAAATAGGTATTAGATTTTTCACTCCATTTGAGTACATTTAAAGTGATTTTCTGTCTAATTTTATGTGTTTAACTTGTTTGCAAACAGCTTGGTAACATGTGGTTGAATCATTGTCTTTCCCATTTTAAAAAACACTTTGTCATTGGTCCAGTAAGAAAAAAGCTCAATCCTAATGCACTTATCAGATTGAAAAATGGAAAAACAAACAACATAATTTCGTCAGCACCAGTTCTGGACTGTTTAATCTCTTATGCTAGCTCACTGGGGTATGCAGACAACAGGATTTCATGTTGAATATGAAAAAGCTTACGATGTAGTTATGTAGCCTCGCCCAGTTAAGATCATATTTTTGAGAACACACAGACTCGTAAAGGGATGTGTGATGATAATAATGCTAATTATCTCCACCTCCAATCACTATAATTTCAGTGTTACCTCAATAGAAAAATACTGGGTATAAAATTTAAAACTAGCATTTTGCTAAATTGGGTTGGAAAAGGATTGGCAGTTGATTAAACCACTTGAAAGAAAAATTACCAAATTGGTGTGTTTTGTACTTTGAGTAAAAGACTATGGCTACGTTCACACTGGAGGTAAAAGTGGCCCAAATCTTTATTGCTCATATATGAGTCAGATCAGATTTTTTTGATGACAGTGTGTACAGCTTAAATCAAATGGAATCTGATCTTTTAAAATCTAATTTGGGCCACTTTCATATGTGGTCCACATCAGATACAGGTCTGATTTTTCGCAGTGTGACCTCAGTGTGAACAGTTATATATCTGAATTTATGTCACTTTTATGTCACTCTAGATCTATGTTGGTCATGTGGGTCACTTCAGGACTGTGACCTGTTCACACTGAAATCAGATATGGGCCACGTTTAACAAATAATTTGAACAGCCAAACAAAAAAACATCAGATCTGAGCAATAAATCCGAACTAAGTGCTAAGGCATGCAGTGTGAACGTAGCCTAGCCTAGCTCAGCGCTGCTAAATGCCAACATTAGCATGCTAATATGCTCATAATGACATGCTAACATGTTTATTTTTGCCATAACCATTTTAGTTCAGCACCTTAACATGCTAACATTTGATAATTAGCACTAAACACTGTTCGTTGTGTTGGTGTTCATTTACGCTAATGAGGCTAGCTAGATCTAAAAATAGGAAAAGTTAGGGTTAGGGTGGTGCTGAGAGGACTTCTTTTTGTAGGCCAACCCAGAAACAGCAACACTGGTTATTCAACATACATTTTGTCCAGAAAGATAATCTTAACAAATTTTAACCACTTTTATAATTTGTGAAGCTTAAATGCAATCGGTGGAAATAAATAGCTAACGTTAGACTACAAACGAATTACACCATCATTGCATGATCTACGTCTCAAGCTCTAAGCTTTACGTGTTCGGCATGATGACATTGATCTTTTGTGATTGGAGGATTGGGTCAAAACTAGTCAAAACTGTTAAAATCTCAACCTAAAGCAACCAGAAACCTTTACAACCAAAAAAACATGACAAGATAGGCAATAACATGCATCCAAGCTTATAATACTGGTGAGTTTTATATGTAGCTTTGTATTTAATCACGTGTTGCCCAATAACATCATTTCCACTTGACATAAAAGCATCATCTCATGTGAGAAGTGCAATGAAACACCTGTCTGAGGGACACATCTAACAGTTTATTGGGATTTAGAGGAAGTTAGGTAACAACATATTGTCAACACTCCAAATGTCTAATTCTGTAAAGAGGAACATTTGGCCTCAAGCAACCTGGTTTAAATCTGTTTATCCACGGATTCAGAAGCAGTATTTCACCCTAACAACCTCATCAGTGTCCTCCACTGACATCAGCAGGGAGGGAGGTTTAAGGTTTTGGAAGATGGAAAACGGCTTTAAGGTTTCCTTTGTATTAAAATCAAAACACGACCGCCTGCAAGACCCACTGCTGCTTCATCCAAGAAAGAAGAGAAAGGGAAGGTTCTTCTAGCAGGACTATTTTCAATTTATGATTATAGAAATAAAATTAGAAACCTATGATAAAGAGTACAAAATGTCTCTATGTCTTATGCTTGTTATGATGTTATGATTATAACTATTTGTGGAAACACAAACACAACTGAACCCAAGGGATAACTAAAATACTTATATGCTCCCAAGATGTAAAATGTCCATTACAGGACCAACATTCAGCTGCTACTCAGATAGTAAACTAGATGTTATTATACAATAGAGAGCTAAATTGTGTTTTTGATACAGTTGCCACAATTTAGTTCCATTTAAATATAATATGGGATCTCCCAAGGCTCCATTCTGGGATCATTGTTGTTTGGCCTTACTGGATCTGCATTGCTTGGCCAGACCTCTATCTATATAGATATATAAAGAAACAAAAGAATACAAAAATAGTGAGGTAGTAATGCTCCATAATCCAGTTATTCAAGACTAAAATTTTTGTTTATTGTACCATAGATTTTTAATAATAATGGTTTTCAGCTGAGTAATGAATAAATATTTTGATAAGATATCAGCACATCAGCAGTTTGATTCACTGCCACTATTTAAAAAGGGGCAGAGTTCAATAGAGAGCTGATTTTCACTAAACCAACAACCACTGCTGTAACTGTAATGACAGACTGCTAACACCTCCAGTCTTCAGTAATTCGCCTCCATTGTTCTTCCCTTCCTCTGGCCTTGGTAGCCATGTTTGTTCATAGAACAACTCAGCCATGTTGTTATCGTAATTATCTCCCAGTGCTGCTGGAGTCCAGCTGCGACAGCTTCACTCATACAGTTAGAAAAAGATAAAGGCAGCGCAGATTGAACAAAGTGTTGGGTTTTACAGAAGGTCCAGAGGAAAGGTCTATATTGAATCCTAAACACAATGGATTTATTCTCAAGGCATTACTGTACATTCCTGAGAATGAGAATGAAACTGTGTAGTCCCATGGTACACTGGAGTTACTGTTTATTAAAGTCAGCCACATAGAAAATATGTCAGTTCGCAGTGAGACCCTACTAGATGTACACTGTTGATTTTGATTAAAATAAAGACATGACTAAAAAAGTAGTGTTGTTGACTTTGCTGTCACCTTTGAACAGATTTATTGATTATCAGATAATTTCAGGCCTATCGATACTGTGTAATGGTAGAAAATGGTGGCATCCAATTAAGCCTCAATGTCACAGGTTGATATATTGATTGATGAATGAAAATCATTGAGGATACCAACTTTAAGTAAATGTATAGAATAATCAGTCCCTCCAGGATTTTACACACTGGACCTTTTAATCCAATAAAACTATTCT